CCTGGCATCCTGAAGCGTCGCCTCGGTTTTGGCAAGAAGACTGTATTTTCAGGAAGATAACAATGCACTTTCTGACTGCCACTTTTGTCCCTCGTTTGTGATGTGTGTGCTCTGTTCTGTCCTCTGGAGCCTCTGTAGACTCATTCCTGTGACCCGGTGGCCTGCCGTTTGGTGTCTGATGTGTGCCAAGATCGCCCTGCCATTTGCACCGTGCTTACTCCTGAGCAGAAGGGAAAGGAGTGCGCATTACAGCCGAAAAGCCTTCAGAGAAACTGACAGAGATGAGAGAGGCAAAACAGACAAAAATTCTTAAGGCAATAAAACTAGGGGGTGTATATTATCTTCCGGTGCATGTTCTTTTTTGGAAAAATATGGTAGCTCGCCAACCGCATCTGCTAGTCTGATACTAAAACACACAGTATGTGTGACTAAGTTGATTTTGTCACCCCCCATGGAATCCGACTGTGTTCACCCACGTGTCTCATTGCAGTGACTGTCCACGGGCCCAGCTGGGATCCATGGCTCCGTCACCTTGCTCTGTCGTGTCTCGTGCCAGCAGCACGTCACCATCCATCACCAGAATTAGTTCTTACAACCTAGGACTAGTTTTGTACCAAACACGTCTGATGTTTTGATGCCATTGTCTTTTGTAAGGTTAATTCATTAAAAGTTTTATGTACTTTGGTTGATAGTCTGTATCTTTCCCGCCCCTGCCCCCTCTTCTTCTTTCTCCTGCGGTTTGCTCCAGAACTGAGTTGGTTTTCCACTGATTCTCCCATGGGCAGTTGTTTCAGAAGCAGAGATTGAACTCTCCTTGGGTAAATCAGATCGGGACAAAGTTTGTGATGTCGATCATTGATTACGCAACTCCCTGGAAAGAAAGACAGTATGCTTCACTGTGTCACGTGGTGGTCTGTTTTCACTTTGGCATCTCTAGGGAATATTTGCAGGGAAAAATATTTTACTAGTAAAAAGATTCTCTACTAGCAGCGGCACGCACTCCATCCACATAATCTGATCTACTGTAATACGTCGGTAGAGCTATGAGGCACCGAATAATTGGGAACTAGGTACATCAGCTTCACAATAGTCTGAACTACCGAGAGAAGCCACCAAAGCCCCACGAGCTGCCTGTTATGTCTGAGGAGACTTAAGAAGGCAGAGGGACTTCCCTGGTGGTCCAGGGGTTAGGACTTCGCCTTCCAATGCAGGGGATGCGGGTTCGATCCCTGGTCGGAGAACTAAGACCTCGCGGCCAAAAAACCAAAACATAAAACAGAAGCAATATTGTAGCAAATTCAATAAAGACTTTAAAAATGGTCCACATCAAAAAAAAAAAAAAAAAACCTTAAAAAAAAAAAAAAAAAGAGGGCCCAAAGCCAACCTCGATGCATTTTTGAAGAGAGAAGACCTGGAAAACTGTGTTCTTGTAAATCCAACTCAAGAGTTTTGGTTTCTTTCTTCCCCTAAAGAAATCATACTTTGCCAAAGGGTGAAAAATAGGTCATGCATAATCAAACGTTTAAGAGCAAAGCCGCAAATGCCAGCCTGGTTGGGCACACCATACATCTGTAAGAAGTCGAGGACCCCAGTGATACATTAGGAAGCGGCTGGGAACTCGGACTTGAAGCAGGAGCCCTCCGTTTAATCCCTGACTCAGGTTTTTTTTTTACTAGCTGTGAGACTTTGAACACATTTTTCAGTTTCTCTTAGGACTTTTTTCCTCATTGGTAGCTCATGGGCTCAGATCTGATTAAAAGAGCTAATGACCGTGAGAGAGGCTGGCAGGTACCCAGGCCTTGCTCCAGCTTGTTGGACCCAGTGCATTGCAGGATCAACATGGCCACCCTGCCAGGGCTTTGGCTCATACTGGGTAAAAAGAGCTTATCGAAATTAATAACCAGCCTTCATCATCAAAGTGGGAATACAGCATGACTTGTCCAACTGTCTGCCCCAGTCAGAAAGTTTTTGATCCTATAATTGCCACTCAGCATTGACCTTTATACATCTAATTCTCCGAAAAGGTGACTGAGAGAAGAAAAATAGTATAAGGGCATTTCTCTTCACTGTAACCAAAATCTGGACTAGGATGCCCTAGGTTTCAGGGACTTCGAACTGCCCCTGTGGGTTCTTCCTCCCTTGGAGCCTACAGCATCCATCCTGGGGCTCTTTTTGTCACCTGCCCTTAACGGTAGACACCTGCAGATGGGTGATTCACCCAGTGCCCTTAACTGTGCCCCTCAGCCCCTGCCCCAGATGCAGAAGGAGAACTGTTTTTCCCCAAAGCTGTATCTCCAGCCTTATCAAACAATAGGTTTTTTAAAACAAGCAGAGTCATTATCAAAGTCCACCTCGCAAAGGGCTGTGCATACATGTGTCTCTCAAAGTGAGGTTCCCAACCAGCAGTATCAGCATCACCTGGGAACCTGTTAGAAATGTACATTTTTCAGGCCCCAATGCAGACCTGCCAACTCAGAAATCCTGGTGGGGGCCCAGCACGCTCCCTGTACTTTGCAGAGCAAGTCCTCCACGTGATTCCGATCCCCAATCAAGCCTGAGGCCCCCAGCATTTTACAACAGAGGAACCAGGTGCAGAGAGGTTCAGGGGCTTGTCCGAAGTTTCCCAGTTGATCAGTGACTAAGACGAGACTAGAAGGGAAAACTGCCTGTTTCCTGAATCTGAACGTGTGACTTGTGGTCAAGGCTCCCTAAGTTCAGGCAACTACGGACATTGCTGTGAGCAAATCATGCAAATGAGAGGATTCATCAGCCATGTCCATCATGGCTGCAGCATTGATAACACGTAAGAATCTTGCCTCAAAACCCTCCTTAACCTCTCAGTCTTGTAGGAAGCCTCCCTCTCATGAAAAACACTGTGAGTCCAGTCCCCTTAACACTGCAGTATTTTTAATACATCTGTTTAGAAAAGTCTACATTGTCATGACTCTTCCACGTTATTCTTTTTCCCAGCTCAGTGTGCTTTCCTAAAGACAGCAACACTCTGCTTTTGAAAAAACACTGACAAATGGAAATTTAATAAATCAAAACAAATTCTTTTAATGTACGTTTTTCTTTGATAAGATGACTAATGGGCATTCACTGATTGGCTTTAAGGTGTAAAAGTCAAGATGCTGAAAGAAATATAATTTTCCTTTGCTTCCTAATAAACATGAGTGCTTTTGAAAGCTTGCCCAATTAAAGCCCTGCTTTTTAAAAGTAGTAGAAGGTTAAGGGAGTAGAATCTGACTTGAAGTAACTGAAAATAATCTGACATTAATTTATCGCAACTACTTTCAGATGAAGGCATTTCTTTTTTTTTATTTATTTATTTTTGGCTGTGTTGGGTCTTCATTGCTGCACACGGGCTTTCTCTAGTTGTGGTGAGCAGGGGCTTCTCATTGCGGTGGCTTCTCTTGTTGCAGAGCACGGGCCTAGATGCATGGGCTTCAGTAGTTGCGTCACACAGGCTCAGTAGTTGTGGCTTGCGGGCTCTAGAGCGCAGGCTCAGTAGTTGCGGTGCACGGGCTTAGTTGCTCCGTGGCATGTGGGATCTTCCCGGACCAGGGCTCAAACCCGTGTCCCCTGAACTGGCAGGCAGATTCTTAACCACTGGGCCACCAGGGAAGCCCCGAAGGCATTTCTTAGAGATGGCTTGTCTTTCTTGGTAATCAAGACTGAAGAAAGAATAATTTATAAAAATTTCCATCACCCAAACTTTATATATTTTCTCTCATGTTACTATAAACGTGCTTAATGCACCCAAAGGCATTCCAAATAAACTGCTATTTGTTTGAAAAAACATAGGAGACACCGACAGTGAAAAAACATTTTCAAAAGTATAAGGAAGTATTTAAGAATCATTCAGCCTTGAAATTGCCAGGAACGCAGTGTCGTAAGTCCTTAGAGAATCAAGACAATAAAACCAGCAATGGAGGACTCAGCATTGAAATTAATTAGATCACCTGCCCATTAACTGCTAAGCTGTGGAAAATTTAATCATGATAGGTGAGGGATGATTTCTTGCAAGAAATCCATTCATTAAAAACACAGCCAATAGCTTAATGCTGGAATAACTTTCAAATCGCCTCCAAACTAAACATTTCTAACTTTGGTTAAAGGCAGCAGCTGCTTCCCAAAAGAAAACTGTTCGAAGTGACAGTCACAGCCCCTATCGTGCAGGTTAAGACCACACTCCAGTGGCTTATGGATTCCCACACAAACTCCTCGAGGCTTAGAACTGCCACTTTAGAGCTGAGGAAATGTGGGCTCAAGTAGGTGAGTCAATTTGCCCTACCCCATGCAGCTAGAAGATGCAGGAGCCACAGTGTTACCCAAGTCGGTCGAGCGCCAAAGCCCCATCTCTTCCTGTGACCTCTGGCTGCTTCTCCACCGAGGGATGACAGCAGCATTGCTGGCCACCGAGGCCACCCATCCTACTAGGGACTGTTGTCCTCGGTTGTCCAAAATTCTGTTATTTGTGGCTCAGGCCTGTGGCGGGGTGGGGGGAGGAATGCTGTAGACACTAGAGTTCAGCTGTGCCGAAAGGCAATTTCATTATCTCCCCATTAGGTACTGTTTGTGCTGTGAGACGGTAGCGGTTTCCATAACCGGTAAGAAAAGGACCTGCGCACCATTGCCACGAGTGCCTCCGCCAGGAAGACTCGCAGACTTGGAGAGGAGCGAACAAAGATCAGCCCGACCGCTGTCAAGGGGGAGCAAGGTTTTCATTGTATTCAGATGCTCATAATGGATCAGTCTCCAGCATCATTTCATCTGAAATCGGTTCGCGTGAAAACCGTCATACTAGGTAGTTGTCCATCCTCAGACTCGCAGGCCTTTGGCCAGGCTGGTCGCCAAGGAAACGTGCGGGAAGCAGCCCTGTGCGGTCCTTCCCGCGGCCCCAGCGCATCGGGGGCACATCAGGGGTCGCCCGCTGGCCCGGGAGGTCCACACAGGGACCCTGAGGCCGGCGCCAAACCGCGTCCCCCCTTCCCCCCCCCCCCCCCCCAGTGCCATCCCTCTCGCCCGTGCCCTTCGGGCCATGCGAGGGCGTCAGGCCGGAGAAATGTGACCGAAGCCGGGAGCCTTGATGCTGGGGATGTCGTTCTTCCGGTAGAAGTCGGCCTTCACGTGGCCGGCGCGGCTGTGATCCCGGTTCGGGGGCTCCACAGGCTGGTGGATGCGCCGCCCATAGACAGAAGACGTCAGCACCCACACTGGCCTCTCGCGCTCCTGTTGGGGGTGAGGGTCAGGGAGCAGAGCGCTCTTACCTGTCCTGTCCAGCCCGCGCGCCGCGCATCTGCGCCCCACCTCCACCTGGCTTCTTAGGACCCCTCCACGCTGACGCCGGGGGAGGGGGACCTCTTTAACCAATTCACACCCTGTCCCCTCTGCTCAGGGCCTGCCGCTGTCCTCAAGTCTTTCAGAGGAAAGACCAAGGTCTCGCACGGGGCAACAGGTACCCACTGACTTCAGGGTCCTGTTCCTCCCTGTCTCCTCCCTTCTCCCCCGGCTCCTACTGCCTGTCTTCTGTCCACCTTCTTCCTTCTCCCAGATACACATCTCCCCAGATCTCCCATCTCCCCAGACCTCTCATCTCCCCAGACCTCTCATCTCCCCAGATCTCCCATCTCCCCAGACCTCTCATCTCCCCAGACCTCCCATCTTCCCAGATCTCCCATCTCCCCAGATCTCCCATCTCCCCAGACCTCCCATATCCCCAGACCTCTCATCTCCCCAGATCTCCCATCTCCCCAGACCTCTCACCTCCCCAGATCTGCCATCTCCCCTATCCCCCATCTCCCCATGCTCCATCCCCCAGACACCCTCATCTCCCCAGGCCCCCCATCATGTCCCCAGCCCCCTTCATCCCTTTCATTTTCTCCATCCCCTTAAAAGGCTGTATTTCTCTGCATACCACTTATCAATACCTGACATCCAGGTCATTATTTATTTGGCTTTTATTTTTCTGTCTCCTCATGGGAATGTCAGCTCTAGGAGGACAGACACTTCTGTTTTCTTCCCTTTATACTCAGTGGCACATGGGAGGTGCTCAAAAACTCTGACTGGATCTAAGTCATGCCAGGCGTGTGCTTATGAGAGAAAAGCACTAACTTCACTACCAACTTGGAATGAATTAACTCAAACCAAAACAACAGAAAAAAAAAGTTAATGTCAGTGACTTAAGTGGTGATACTTCATAGTACCTCCATCACTTAATTCCACAGCAGTTAAAAGTTTCTTTGAAAGTGACACGGTGGTATTCTTAAACATTAGCTGCCACAGGCAAAAATCCTCTGATCCAAAAAGGAATCCCACCAGAAGCTTTTTCATCCAGATTTCTGTGTATTGTATAAAGATTATGATATTAATACAGAATCCAGATTTTAATAAACATACTGTCCTCGGATCAGATTTAAAGAGACAATGTCCTAGCGTGGAAGAGGGTCTAACACAGCGGCAGGTGGGCTCGACCATGCCAAGGGGATGCACAGCCTCCTTCCCCCGCCCCCATCCCTATCAACCCCCCTCTCTACGCCCACACCTCCAACCCACCACCCAACCCCCTGTACCTGCTGTGAGCCTGACCTTCTCACCCTGTGAGTTTGGTTCCCTCTGTTGGTCACCACCTACCCTGTGCAGCTGACGAGAAGCAAAGCCCTTCCTCTCAGAAAACCATGCAGAGATAAAAGAAGAACTGAGCCGTATGTGGTACATACAGTGGCCTGGTAACTTGGGAGAAATACTCTTTCTTGCATGTGTGGTTTCATCCCTGGAAGGCCAGTGTTCTTAGAACTATGATAGCCAGGCCTGGGAGGTTAAGCAAAGACCTATTTATCTATTGAAAAGAACTCTTGAGTCTTGCTGTCATGGAACTGTTACATTCTAGAGGACTAACCAACAGTCACAAAAATTAATACACAGTTTAACATGGCAGAATGGAGGGAGCTGTGACAGTAGCTTGGTCTTCACTTCCTGGCACAGTGAGACAGAGGAGAGCCTCACAAAGGCGAGTTACGTGCAGCCAACTGCACACGGTGCTAAATAAACACACACACAGTGAATCTGTTCACACCCAGCGATACCCTGCCTTACTATTACCTCCTCGTTAACGTGAAGTCCCAGGCTTTTTGCATGTTCTCTGTCGTCTCGGTGCAATTTCTGATTATAACCTGGGTTCCTCTTAAAAACACAGTCATAGAGGGAAATGATTCCGGTCTGGGAATAAAAAGAGAAAGAAAGCCATGGTTTATTCAAGGGCTGAGCTGTGGAAGCTTCATGCGGCTTGAGAGCCCAAACTCTCCCCCTGATGAAGAGTGGAGATGTATAGAGATTCCCCGACTGCACCGAACGTGTATGGGGAAGGTCACCACCCTCGGGCAGTGACCAGAGCAGGGACGCAAGGCCCCAAGTTCCTGAGAGGCCCGACAGGGTGTAGATGTTTCCAGGGACACTTTTCCTAGACTGTTACAGACTCCTCCTTCCCAGAGGAGGCTCCTGGCTCTCCCTGACTCCACCCTAGGGCTCAAGTCTTAAAATTATGATAATCCATTCAATATATGTGTTTCCCCTCTTTTTTTTTTTTTTTTTTGGCCGTGCCCCGTGGCACGTGGGGTCTTAGCTCCCTGACCAGGGATCGAACCCGCGCCCCCTGCAGTGGAAGCTTGGAGTCTTAACCACTGGACCGCCAGGGAAGTCCCTCTCCTTCATTTCTACTTTTCTTGAATTTCTCAAATTTTGTATAATAGGCTTGTACTGCTTTGAAAATCTAACAATAACTGAATACTAGGACAATATACCCAAATAGAAGTTCTCCCTCTCTAGAGAGAAATATTTTCTTTAATCATATGTGGCAGCTATAAAAACTGTAATTCATATGTATATGAACACATATATTTGGTATATGTTATATATGTGTATATATACATATGTATAATATACACATATATCCAAACATAGTATAAAATACTCACACGCACAGCTCTAATGTGTTAGAAAATGATCCCATTAACAGAGCTGCCATCTGTAACATCTCCATTTTTTTATCCCCAATTTTTCTTACTACAAAAATAAAACTACCTCATTTGGTAACTAGTAAAAGGAAAAGAAATCCACGTGTTAGCTGATCTTTAATCTTCGTCTTGTAAGTCAGGCCTGTCATTTCTGTTCCTCCAGCCCAGTGCCAGCTGCCTTGAATCCTCCAGCAGCAAAGGCAGATGCGCCACCTCACTGGAATTTGGGATTGCGGGGCCTCTAACCTCTGCTTGCTTGTTTGTTTTTATCCTGAATAGTAATGCTAGAAGAGTCCCCTCCGACGGAAGGACACAGAGGTAGAAGGTAACGGTGAAAAGGATGCACATTGTGTGCAGTCTGTTGGAAAACACATCCCGCCCATTCTCAGTGTGGGAACTCAAGAGTTGCTGACAACAGCGGATATGGCTGGAGTGTGATGTAGCTTCAGCCCAGCCGTGAAAACTCCTTCACAGCTCATCTATCCTGTGCACGACGTGCCACTCCAGCTCGGGAAGGTTTGAAGATAACTCAGACACGGCTGCTGTCCTGGTGCCATTAGCCATCTAGTCAGGAAAACAACGCCATCGTTTAGAAACATTATTTTCAAGTTCTTCAGAATTTCAGTGGCACCATGTTCAAGGCACTTATTCAGTGATGCTGGAATCCTGGTTTGCCTATGTTCCGAGTCACTCCAAGTGACTAGAGACAGGAGCCATGGCTTCTGAATCCGTGCCCTGATGGTCATTTAATGAGGTCACCTCGCAGGAGCTTCTTCTTGGCTTTGTCTTCCCTCCCCCACTCAGCTGCTGGGCCTGTGCACACATTGGTTTGGCCGGCCCTGACTTTCACACCTACTGAAGGCCACCTACACCCTACAACCTCCTGAAGGTAACCTTGTACTCATGGGATTAAAAAGCAAAAGACCCAAATCAGTGGAGAGGTGATACATTATTCAGCTTTTGGTACTGTGAACATTGGCTAGCTCTTTGGGAAAAAAAGAAAAAGAAAGCTGGGTCTTCACATCACACTATGGACAAAAGTAAACTCTGGATGGATTAGAAAAATAACTGAAAGGAAAACCCACAAGGGACCTTCTAGGCAAGAAAGCAATGGGGAAATATCACAAAGAAAATATCCATCACTTTGCCCATGTAAAAATCAGACATTTGCTTATCAAATAAAATTCAAACTTAAAAAACCTTCAGGAAATGAAGAAGAAATCTCAGTATCTTTAACATCAGTGTGTAGGATGTCCACAGAAGCAGAAGCTGGTGGGGTTGGCTGGGTGCTCACTTCTAGCCTAGAGAGATTAAGCAAACCTCACAGGAAACCTTTTTCTGGGTAAGCTACCGGGCCAGCGGGTCCGGCAGAGACACAGCAGAAGCTCAAGGATGCCACCCACTCTGCTGGGATGGTGGGACACAAATTCTCCAAAGGAGCATGCTCGCCTTCTGTAAAGGCGGTATTGCAATGCAGACCCTTCCCTTTGGGGTTCAGAGCTACTGGCCAGGCCTGGCAGAGGCAGACACGAACAGTAACTTGAAACCCCATCACCCCTACATCGCCCGCATTTACACAGTAATGTAGGCTGGGCTCTTGGTCATAATGTAGATTTTCCATTGTCACTGGAATCCCTCCTGGCCTGACTGACCCATGAAATGGGTGTGTTTCGGGAAAGAGCTGCCGTGGGCAACAGAATGACCTGGTTTCCTAGGACCAAGCACCTGAGTGGGAGCTGCACCTGCAGCCAGAGCCCTTCTGCACCCTGAGAACTTTGGGCCAGAGAGGAGGAGGCCAGCGGCCAGTCTCTGCTCCCTGCAGTGACTAGCTGCTCCTGGGTGTGCGGCTCAGCCCCACCACAAGGGGGCAGCCCTGACAGAAGGGGAAACAGGGATCCCCCTTGTGCTGGCTTCCTGTGCAGGTGGCCCATTCCCGCCTGCCCCTCCTGAACTGAGTAAGCCCCTGGGGTCCTTGGACTTGTCCTGGGAGAAAGACTAAAGAGGGAGGAACGAACTCAAGAACAGAATGAGAATGCCATCGCTGTTACCTGAATGAGGAAGGAAGCGTGCTTCATTCTGTCCCCTATGATGGAGAAACCCACTGCAATATGCAGCTTTACAGAATAATGCCTATTTCTTGTCATTCTAATTGGGTCTCCTAAAATACTCTATGAAAGTAAGATCTATGAGCAGCAATGCCGGACTCCCATCCCCAGGATTAGGTACCAACAGCCTACTATATCTTAGAAGAGTCTTTATTAGAAATCTCACTGCTGACGGATGTGATCAGAATCTTTAAGTCTTCTATGTGGGGATTTTGCCTACTCAGGACTTTCCAGAGTAAAAACGAGTTTTTTTTCTATCATTGAAAAATAAGAAAAAAATAATCCATCACCAGGCAGGCAGCCTTAGTTAGTAATGTGACTGTCCATTTCCAAATCCTAATGAAACCAAAAATCTGGGTTTTCCCGGATTTTAATTATTAATCTTTCTTCTTTCGGTCCTTTTTATTCCTTTATGATTTGAAGCAAAATGATATTAAGAAAAGCCAAACTGGATTTAGATGCTGCCACAAAACAGAGCTTCTGGGTTCCTGATATTTTGCTATTAAAATCTCTCAAGGGATTTCCTCTATTTCACAGATGACTTTTTTTTTTTTTTTAAAGGCAAAGCAGAGCCCCTTTATTTTTCTCTCATGATTTCCTTAGCTCCTTTGTGTTTTGAGTATCGTTATAATGTATTCTGGTCTTATTCTGGTCGTGGTGTCTGATCACCCACCATCAGTTTCCCTATGGTGACCCTTACTCTTAACACTGAAAAATCACTGCAGTCTATAGCCCTGGGCTGATGCCATAAGACAAGTGGGGGCCTTCAGTTTTCAGCCTCCAAAGCACGTTGGGTCTACTTTGTGCCAGGCACTGTCCTAGACTCTGGAACAGAAATAGGGAGACCCTACTATAAAGGAGACCACCTAAAGGCTGAGAATGGAAATAAACCCACTAATTAAAATATCTCAACATAACACCCAGGGAGGAACAGAGGTATGTACAAAGTACAGTAGCATCAAAGAAGGAAAGATCAGCTTTTGTCTGGCCTGGGGGTAACAAGTGGATGCAAATGAAGTTGACAGGAGGGACCACACCACTGTAGCCAAGGCCACTGGGGAGTAAGCTCCCTGTGTGTTAAATTCATATGTTGAAGTCCCAACCCCTAGTACCTCAGAACATGACCTTATTTGGAAATGAGATTACTGAAGGCATAATTAGTTGAGGTCAGACTCGGATAGGGTGGGTCCCTAGTCCAATAAGACTGGTGCCCTTATTAAAAGAATTTGCACACAGACACAAATAGGCAGAAAGTGAAGATGATATGAAGAGACACAGGGAGAAGACAGCTGAGCTAAGGAGAGAGGCGGGGGGACAGCTTCTCCCTCACAGCCTCAGAAGGGACCAACTCTGCCAGCACCTTGATTTCAGACGTCTAGCCTCCAGAAACTGTGAGACAATAAACTCCTGTTGTTTAAGCAGCCAGGTCTGTGGTACTTTGTTACAGCAGCTCTAACAACATACACGATAAGGAGAAGTAGCCATCTTTTGAACGATGGAAAGTAAGGATAGAGATAGTACAAAGGTTATTGCAGTGGAACCAGAGACCCAACCATGGCGCACTCTGCTCAGATAAACTGAATCGGTATACCTACTGGCTTGGTAGACATCACCAATATTCAGTGCTCCTCTACTGACTACACAGAGGATTAATCTTCCCTCTCCTTTAGGTTAGTGAAATCATGAGCCCAGTTCTAACCAATGAATGGTGCATAGAGGTGACGTGTGACTCTTCCATCAGAAGTATTTAAGAGCTGGTGCCAGGGACTCCTGAAGCTTCAGACTGAGGTGTTAGCAGCTTCCACGGTGGCCACTGAGGGACGGTACTGGGCAGAGTCACCCTTCTGATCCCTGTTGGATGCTTAGCATGAGAAATAAGCTTTGTTTCAGGCCACTGAGACTTTGGGGGTTGTTTGTTACTGCAGCATAACCTAGCTTATCATGACTAATGCAAGTTCATAAACAAGGAAGAAGTCCTAGCCTACCACCTCCAGCCCACAGGGGGCCTGGGGGCTGTCTCTTCTGGGGTTGTGGGCTTTATTATACCCAGTGCCTCCTCCCAAACTTGGAAGCTCTCTTCCTCCCAGAAGTTACACAAACT